GGCCCGGGCGCACCTGGCCTGGAACTGGCCCCCAGGACGCCCGCCGCCTAGCCTGGGCCTGGGGCGCCTGCGTTCCTCGCTGCCCGAGCCGGGCCCAGGGCAGCCGGGGTAGGTGAAGGCCGGAGCAGGCGGGTGTGATGCCCGCGCGGGGCGGGCCTGGGCGGACACGCCCTTCCCGTGCTCTCCCTTCAAAGGAGCTCGTGGGAGGGAGGATAAAGAGAAAGTGAAACTGCAGGAGGGGCGGGAGCGGCCGCGGGTTTCTGGTCCCCAGGCCTTGCTTCTGTGGGAAGGCGAGAAAGGGCAGCCCACGCGGGGCGCCAGCCCGCCTGGGGAAACCAGGGCTCCCTGCACCCCACTAGCGCCGCTCCGACCCACTCCGCCGCGTGCAGAGCCGTGCGCTCGCGGCCTGGGGGCGGGAGGACCCCCAAGTCCTGGGCCACGGTGGGCAGCAGGGTGGTTATAGGTGGAGCACAGGCTGGATCAGGGCGGAGGTGGCACCGCGTGAGAGGGGCCGTTTCCGTGTGTGTTGTGGCAGCTGTTGCAAGCACCCTGTAAAGTGAATGGTGAAGGGTTCGGTCTCTGCAGTTGGGGAAGCCGAGTCTCGGGAGTGACGACCCCGGGGTTAGAGCCCTCGGTGGTAGAGAAGGGGCTGCGGGCCTGGAGCTCTGAGGGGCTGGGCATCCCCCACAAGGACGCTGGGAACGCGGAGCCAGTGGGTGAGATGAGGGAGAGATGATCCCGAGGTCATCAGCGTGGGAGCCAAGGCCTCCCCTGCAGGAAATTACCAGGTGAGAGCAGCGCTGCCCGGGGAGTCAGGCTCAGGCCCCCGCCTACGCACATCCCAGCCTGTCCAGAGACTGGGCTGGTCCCGACGGGGACTCATCAGCAGCGCCACCGGGCGCCAGCCTGGAAGCCTGGACACAGGCATGCACAGCTCTGCGCTTTGCTTTCTGTACTTCAGGGCAGTGAGGACAAACCTCGGGGGCCGCATGGGGACACAAGCCACAGCAGGGCAGAATGTGAGCACACGGAAGCCACCATGTGCCGGCCTCTCCACTGCACCTGAGGGGCTGGAGGCCCAGCGCTGAGCCCTCCATCCTCGGGACTTCTCTGTGACTGGAGCTGATGTCCCCAGCTGGCGAGGCATGTCCCCAAGGACACACAGAGGTCTCCAGACCCACACTGCAGCTGCCTGTGATGATGCTCTGTGTCCAGCAGCGTGGGGGTGCCGAGTGGGGCTCAGCCACCCGGCTGCCCAGCAGTCACGTCTCCCCACCCTCGGCCCAAGCGTCTCTGCCGAGCCGGTCTGACCCACTTGGGGACAAGCCAGTGTGGCAAGGGCGCTCCCTGGATGAGGGGTACGTGGGCGTTCCTGCCCAGCAGGCTGTGCGTCCCAGCCAGTGGGTGTTTCCACACCGGCAGGCTGGCACCTGCTCGGGAGGGTCCAGCCATGTGGGTTAACATGAGCCACCTGCAGGTTTCACAACCTCTGGCTCTGCAGGCTGTGAGAAGTGCTGAGCACAGCGTGGCCGTGAGCGACAGCGCTGCCCCGTCCCTCAGCCCCTCTGAGCACAGCGGGCGCTGCCAGAGAGCTGCTGGGTGCAGGCACCGGGGTGGGCTCACCCCCACCACCCCTTGTGCCTGCCCTGTGCCCTGTCCCCTTCTCCACAGCAGGGCTCTTGGCTCTCAAGCCCTGTGCCCCTTGCACCCCCAGCCAGCGCGCCATCCCAGTGTGGGGCAAAGGCTTCCTGGGCCCTGCCATCCTCAGGTGGCATCGCTGGTTGTGCAAGGCCGGGCACACCTGTGTCTGGGTGAGGAGCTGGGAGGCTGCCAGCTGCAGTGCCTTGGGGGAGTCTGCACCCCAGGGCTCAGCCGGGGCCTGGGAACCAGGCTGAGGAGCCCCGGCCCAGACCTCCTGGGTGCCAAGTGCTAGCTCTTGGGTAACGCATTTGCCTAAGCTCCGCAGGACACATGCCCTCACACCAGGCCGTCTTCCCACACCCCAGCTCCAGGGGCCACAGGCGGGTGGACAGAGGGGTGGGAATGCTGGTGTGGAGAGGTGCCAAGGCCAGGGGCAGCAGGGGAGGCTGGAGCTGCACACAGCAGGGACAGGTGGCTGATGGCTCTATCCTGGGGCAGATACTGCCCCTGCTGGGCACCTAAAGCTTGGACCAGATGCTCACCTGGGCCCAAGCCCCTGATTTCAGCCCAGCTGGGCTCTGATGAGGCAGGTGGTGGCTGTGCCCATTGGCACACCTGTAGCAGCCTCCAGCTGGCACCATGGAGCTGGTCACCTCTTCCCTGCCCCCAGCAGCAGACAGTGGAGGCTTTGGTGGGTGGGGGCAGAGGCTCACCTGAGGGGTGCCGGAGTGACCATGGCAGTGCTCTGGCTGGAGACAGCACCAGCTTCCCTACTGCCCACAGGCCCATCAGCCCCTTGGGAGCCCTGTGTGCACTGCCCCACTGTGAGGGTGGGGTACGGGGCGCCGGGAGGGCAGCTGGTTCAGGTCCCCACCCTGTGCCTCCCCACCCCACCGATCAGCAGCCTGGGGTGACTGACTGTCCCTCTGGTCCCCAGGGTGCCCGCTCTTCCCACAGCCACGGTTGCAGCCTGACAGACGCCCCAAGCTGAACTTTGGGGCCCGGGAGGCACTGTCCTGCAGCAACTTTATTGCCGTTCTGCCCAACAGAGCCCTTTACACTTTGTCACTGAGACAGCCTGTGGAGCAGTCCAGCAGTGGAGTGCACCCTGCTGGGCGGGGGGTCATGTGCCCAGGGTCCTTCCGGCAGGTTGAGGCAGCAGGTGGAGGAGTGGCTCACGCTGCAGCAGGATTTCTGGAGGTCAGACACCAGGCAGCACTTCCTGGGAATGGCGGTCTCCTGAGAACTGCAGGCCCAGTGGTACCTGGAGGGCTCTGCCGCACACCCTCCCGTGCCGTGTTCCGGCCCAGCCAGCCCTGAGAACCCCGAGTGGGACTCACTGGGCCTGCACCCTCCAGGCTCCGCAGGAGGGCCACCACCTCCAGGTTCCCAGCCGCCTCCGCCTGTGGGGCACGTGGGGGGCTGCTCAGGGACTGCAGAGAGGCCCCCAGGATACCATGTCCCTCTCCCCCGCCTCCAACTCATGCACGTGGGGCCCCACCCCCCCCCACAGTTCCAGGCCCAGGGTCTGGGACAGGGAAGGAGGCAGCCCAGGGGCCCCTTGTAGAGAACAGCGGGGCAGCAAGGGAGAGGGAGCTGGTGCATCGGTCAGGGTGGCCTTCCAGGAGGTGGTGCACTCACAACACACAGAGCGCTGCGCCCGTCGTAGCCTGGCTGCTTCAGGTCAGCCCCGGCCTGCCACCATGCCCGCAGGCCCTTTGTGTCCGCCCTGGCTGCTAGCCTGGGGGTGGGGGAGCTGTCAGGACCTGCTGGGCACCGTCCACCTGTGTGCCCCTGCTGCCCACTCCTGGTTCCACACAGCCAGCCCCAAACAGCTGACCCAGCAGCGCCCCGCCCTGGGGCAGGAGTCTGGTTTCACCGGTGGGTGTGGCCGTGATTCAGGTGGAGGACGCACATGCGCACACAGGATGCAGCCCTGGATCTCGCACACCCCACGCCCCACCCCTGCCTGCCCAGCGCCCCACCAGCTCCATTTCACAAAGGCCCAGGTGGGGCCCCCAGGCGGAGGGCAGGAGGGAGGCAGGAGGTGCTGCTGGCCCTGCAGGCTGAACGGGTCCTGGCTAGGAGGGCGGGGCTGGCTGGCCTGGAGAGGAGCCCACCCCCGGCCGGTGGCCGGGAAGGACAGCCCCCTCCAGGCCTGGTGACGCGCTCATCGGAGGCGTCTGTCTGCAGCAGCCCCACGCTGGCGCCCAGTAATTTCTGGGTAAATCATACTGGAGGGCAACACTGGACCCCCACCCACAACTCCCACACAGCGGCCCCCACGCTCCCCTTGGCAGCCCTCGGAAGCGGAGTTCCACACGTTGGTTCCAGCCCTGGCTCCCATGGACCTGGCTATGCCACTGTTTCTCCATCCGTCAATGGTACCATCACGGCCTGCCTGGGGTACAGCCCTGGACCAGACCACGCCACAAATCCCTTCGAGCAAAGTTCAGCTCCCACACTCCTGGGACCCCTGCGACCTCAGCCCACCTCTGCCAGCCTGGCCCCCATCACCAGCAAGCATCCTCCTGGGGCACCCAAGACTAATCCAGGGGAGCAGTCCCTTCCCCACCCCACAAGCAGGGCTGGGGGTGTGGCGCCAGTGAAGGGCCTGGCTGGTGCCAAGGCATTGGGGTCCTCTCCAGTGGGGCAGGCTCCTCACTCCTTCCGCCCACCCCACCTTCCTAGCCAGCCCAATCCCAGTGGCCGCCCACTTTCTGGCCTGGGTACGGGGACAGCGACGAGGGCCGCTTATGGCACCCTGCGCGGGGGGCCTCCAGCCTCTGCCTTACTTGACTCCCCCTTCTGCTTGATCTCCCACGCAGCACACAGTCGCCACGCACGCCCTTGCTGCACAGTCCTCTCAGCCGGAGTGACCCGGAGTGTGGCAGGCAGATACCTCTGCCAGGCGGCCAGGCCCGTGCGTGGAGAGGGTGTGGGCTGTCCTGCTTCGGCCCCATCCCCTGGTGAGCCTGTCCCTCCCAGCAGATCTGGCTTTCTTCCTCCGGCTGTGTGCCCGCGCTGGCCACCCTCACCTGCACAGCTCCGTCCCTGCATCCGCCAAGTCCTGGGGAGCCAGGCAGGCCCCAGCCGTCCGCAGCAGCCCGATGGTGCCCTGATGCCTGTCATGAGAAGGGCTGCACTGGTCACCTTGGCCACAGATGCGGCTGCTACCCTGCCCTTTGCCCGGGCCCAGGCGATGCGTCCTTCTCAAGGTCGCACCACCTCTGTGACCTCGGGGGCACGCCAGCCGGGCAGCTCCTCACACCCCAAGTGGTGCCTCTGCCCATCCCCGGGCCAGCACCTGGAGGACAGTCCTCACCTGAGCCCTGCTGCACCCAGAAACGGTCTCACACTCACCCCGGAGCCAGCTCCAGCCAGGCCCAGGACTGGCTCTGGGAAACTGAGTCAGCTGTGCCCGACTCTGCCCTTGGGATGGGGGACAAGACCCTGCAGATGGACGCCAACAGCGGGTCGGCTGTCAGGACACCAGGCCAGGACCCAAGCTATAGCCCGCAGTGGCTCCTGAGCCAGCCCTCCAGGACACGTCACATGTGTCTGCCGGTGGGCCAGGGTGCAGGCGAGGCTCCACAGGCCAAGGACAGGGTGCGCCAGGGTAGTGGGACAGCGTGACTCTGGCACCTCGTGGCAAGTGTCGGGAGGACCGTAGCTTACACAGCCACCCTACTTTTAGAGAACACAGGCAGCGAGCCTCCCGGATGGCTCAGCTCCTGGACCACTCCAGCACAGCAGGGCCAGGCGGGTAGCCAGGGCAGGGTTGAGTGCACTCACCTCATCTCCTCACCACCCGCCCATACCCAAGGATACCCAGGTGCAGATCTCCAGCCCAGATCACCCTGGCTGGTGCAGGGGTCGCCCCACAGCACCCCTGCTGCCCTGCAAGCCCGGGCTGTTCCTCGAGGTTCACACTTCCCAGGGACACGGCCCCCAGGGCCCTCGGTTGGACACAGCCAGGCAGTGCTGGACTTGGACCCCTGGCCTCAGTGACAGGTCTGGGGAGCGTGGGCAGCGCTGGGTGACCCGGTCGCCAGGCAGGTGAGCGATGGCGTCACTAAGCCCAGGTGGCCTCTGCATCAGAGTGAGTGGAGCCTGCAGGTGGGGATTTGGTTGAGCCGTAGTCCCAGCCTGCAGCACACCCACACACACACGCTCCCAAGGGCGTGGACAACTTGCACGCTGCTCCAGGGCTGGGGTCAGGGATGCCCGCGGGGCCCTCCCGCAGAGGCCCTCTGGTGGGGAAGAACCTCCTTTCCCAGCATCTTCCGGGGCCTGTAGCGTCTGCAGGTGAGCAGGCGGGGCGAGCGAGGCAGGGTCTCTGACTCTGCGAGCTGGGGCCTCCTACCCTGCTGCGCCCGCAGCAGGGGCACACGAGACCTGAGCCTGTGACAGCCGTCCATCTGCCTGCCCCCAGGAACCCCTGTGCTTTGCCAGTGACTCTCCTTTTCTAAAACCTGGGTCTGCCTGGCTCAGCTTGGAGGTCACCTCCTCCACAAGGCCCTCCTGGATCACCTCACAGTCAGGCCACCTGGTCTGTGTTCACATCAAGCAGGTTCTCCCGCCCACACATCCGACACAGCGCCCCACCCAGGTACCTGCCCTGCACGGCCAGCAGCAGCGGGCTGAGGCCGTCCTGGTCACGGGCATTCACATCCACGCCTCTGTGCAGCAGCATGGTGACCACACCCTCGTGCCCCCTCCGCGCAGCCGCGTGCAGTGGGGTCTGCCCACTAGAGTCCTCCAGGCACAGGTCACTGCCCTGGGAGACACGAGGGCGCACAGACTGAGACAGGGCTGGGCAGGGAGGACCTGGGCACACCGAAGTCAGGGGCCTGGCCAGGCAGAGGGCACAGCAAGGCTAGCAAGGACGGGAAGCGTGACACCCGCAGTGGGCTAGCACCCTCTGCCCGCGCCAGGGAAGGGGCCGGTACCGCAGGGCTCACCAGCTCCACAAGCGCCTGCAGAGCCTCGAGGTCACCTTTGTGGGCTGCAGCCAGGGCCAGGCTGGGCATCACAGTGTCCCGCACTGCATCCACTTCCTGGGAGGATGGCAGTCCCTGGGGCCCAAGCAGTGCTCTGGGGCCCTGACACCCCAGGGTAAAGGGCAGGCAGAGTCCACCCACCGAGGAAAGTGCTGGAACTGCACACCCTGGGGCCACACTACTCCCCCAAGGCCTGTGTGACCCCAGACCCTGGAGCAAAGGTCCAGACCCAGGGCCACCAACTGGGTCTGTCCCCAGTGGCTGTGACCCAGCCTGCCATCACCTTCTGAGTCCATTTCCTCTACAAAATCCTTGAGTGAGTGAGTGAGTGAGTGGGGAGGGGTGTGGGTCAGGAGAGAAAAAGGCCACTCCACACTCTCCACCTTCCTGGAAGGGCCAGCGACAGTCACCTAGGGGGTCCCCACTCCACCTGAAAGTGTGGTCCCGCAAGGTCCAGCAGTGTGCCCCTGCAGCCCCACAGCCCAGCCTGATCACAAAGCTGCTGGCAGCTGGCTGTCCTGGAGGCATGAGGGCCCCAGGTCCCACCCTGATGACAGGCCACACGCCCCAGTTCCTCTCATCCGCCCCGCCAGCGTGGTAGGCAGATCACAGTGCTGCCCATCAGCTCTGCCAGGGACAGGAGCCCAGCAGGCCCTGGGCACAGGGCTCAGAGTCCAGCCGGCCAGGGTCCGCCCCTGCCCTCCTGCTCTGGATGCCTGGGTGTGGGGAGGGCGCTCAGAGGGGAGGCCATCTGCAGGGGGTGCTTCAGGGAGGGGACAGCAGGCTCAGAGTCCGGAGACCCTAGGCCCCGACCCCTCACACCCAGTCCTGTGCAGGAGCACCTACACCTCCACCCGCTGGTGCCACCTGCCTTGGGCTCCAAGGGTCCCTATGGGTCATCAGCCCTGCTCCCAGGCCTGACTGCCTGAGGGGCAGCTGGGACTAAACAGCCGTGGCCACGGGCTGGCTTCTCCTGTGGGACGTGTGGCCCCGCTGCCTCTCAAGGTCCTGCCACTGTCCACACCAGCATACCTGGCCGCCACTCAGACCCAAGAGCCAGGTGACACTGCACCCCAGCGCACTGCTCCACAGAGAAGACTGGCGCTTGTCCATCGTGGGCAGTGTCATCTCCCCGCGAAGATCCTTGGCCAGCAGCTAGTGGAGGACACAGAGGCCGCTGGGCTTGGCTGTGCCACCCAGAACTCCACCCACAGGCTTGAGGGTGGCTTCTGAGACCCGCACCCGGCCCTGCGAAATCAGCACCTCTGAGCTGCCACTGACTAGCAGCCCAAGGGCCTGGGAAGGGCGCGGAAGGAGGGGCTTCCAGGAGGGCTGTGGACCCATCTGCCCAGCACTCGAGGCTCCGAGGGGACGGGGGCGGCGAGGGCGGCAGAGCCGGCTGGCGTGTGCACAAGCCCGTGTCCTGGAGCCCGTGTCCGCAGCCCAGCACACACCTCCTTCCTGTGATCCAGGCTCAGCCCCGGCCGGCCCAGCACGTAGGACAGCTTGGCCAGGGCAGCCTCCGAGGTCATGTCAAAGCCAGAGACAACGCTGGCGCCCGCCTCAGCCTGCAGGGAGGGGAGCAGGGTGGCTCTCGCAGCCTCCATGGGCCTTCCTGGAGGTAGGGGTCAGGGCCTCACTGGCCTGTGCCCTCCCACACCTCAGTCCCCCCACCTCACCAAGCCTGACGCATAGCCTGGGGTCACAGGCCCCCGCAGGCAGTGGCTACAGTTGACGATGATCAGGCCCCGCTCAGCTGCGGCCCGCAGCTCCTGCAGCAGGTCAGGCTTGGTGGGCCCGTTGCCTGAGCCGAAGGTCTCCATGACTACGCCCTTGAGCGGGTGCTGCAGGAAGGCCCGGACCTGTGGGATGTGTGTGGGGGAGCTGCTGAGGGCCTCTGCGTTCTGCCCCGGCTGCGGGGACCCAGGGCCTGTCCTGTGCCTGCCGGTGCGGTACAGGAAGGCTTGGCTCTGAGCGGGGTTGTGTGCGGCCCCAGGTCCCCTTCAGGACCCTCATCCCCAGCGAGACAGGACACTGAGCACCGGGAACTCGTGAAGGGGTAGCAGATGAGGAGACAAGGCCATCGGCTGGCCAGGTGCTCTGCCCCTCCTGGCAGCAGGGGAGTGCTCGGGCATCAGGGACAGGAGGTTGTGCTAACGGGCATGCAGGCTTCCTGAGACCCTGTGGCCCGGCACCAGCCTCGCACACGGGACAGCACACTGGCAGCTCAGAAAACAAGGCCTGACCTGAGTTCTGAGGCCTTTCCAACACAGCCTGTGTCCCAGAGGAGGGAGGCCCCAGAGCCCCAGGCGCGGCAGGGAGGGGCGCGGGGCAGCGCCCACTGTGCCACAGGCAGGGCCTGAGCAGAGGGCAGCGGAAGCACAGCAGGTAGATTCCAAGGGGGAGCCGCGGGGGCGTGGGAGCGCACAGCACCCTTGGGCGCAGGGCAGGGCAGGCCTACCAGGGAGGCAGGGATCCCCGGGTAGAGGCGCAGCAGCCCCACGTCGCACTCCATGCTGCTGTGCACCACCAGCGCGTCCTTCCAGCTGGCCGTCCGCACCAGCTCCCGGGCAACTGAGGGCGGAGGGGCTGGGTGTGGGCTCTGTGCCCAGGCCCCGAGCAGCCTCTCCCCGACTCCCTCCACAGCAAGCCCTCCCTGCCTCGCTCACTGGGCCCGTGCCAGGCTCTGGGGCGGGCAGAGGGCCCAAGGGAGGAGGGGTACAATGGCCATGCAGTGCTGATGCGGGCAATTGGCCAGGAGGGGCATGAGGAGGACCTGCCAGCCAGGAGGCCTGGTTGAGCCTGGCAGGCTGCACAGGAGTGTTGCGGGGGGCACAGCTGCCCAGGCAGATGCCACAGCAGGGGCAAGGGCTGATGTGCATGGCAGGAGACAAGCGGTCTGCTGTGCCAGGCTCTGGGTCCTCCGTCAGCCAGCTGTTGCTCACCAGGCACCACTGTGCCCACTGCCCACAGCGACGCCTGAAGGAGACCCCCAGACACTCTCACATTTAGGAAAGGAAGCCTCCATCCAGGTGACCTGGAGGCACTAGAGGCCTCGCCCCTCCCTTCCCTGCGCCCCAGACAGGACACTCCAGGGCTGCGCAGAGAGTGGTGAGGGAGGGCCCTCCGGGTCAGCGCCCCTTAACATCGGCTGTGCAGAGGACCTCGAGTTCAGCCTGCCCGCGGTCAAGGCCACTGCTCTTCCGGCACGGGGCCAGCGGCCATGGAGGGGTGCTGAGGTGGGAAGCCTGTCCCAAGCCCCGCACCGCGGTGCCCAACGGGGCAGACGCTGGCGACCCCCCTGCACTACATGGCACCAAGGGGGCCAGCACAGGGAAGCTGAGGCCCGGGGAGGGGCAGGTCTTCCCTGAGGTTTGCTGGAGTCAGGCTCAGGGCTTGGAAGAGACCTGCGCCCCCGCCCACACGCCCCAGGACGATGTAACCCCACTGCCGCCTGCCTTTTCTAGAGCGCAATTCAAATTGGACTGAGAGCAAGAGGGCAAATTGGACACAGCATGTGGGCGCGGCCTCCCTCAGCCCGCACCGCGCAGCTGGCACTGGCTTTAATGTAGGGCACTTCAGGACTTGCACCGCAGTGAGGCGGGGGGTCCTGCCACCCCCAAAGGGCTATAGCTGCCAACAGGGGTGGGAAGGAGACCAAGGCCTGCCTGGTGGCCACCACTGGGGAAGAGACTCCGTAAAACCCCCAAGTCTGGAGGCCAGGAATGGGGTGTGGTGGGGTGGAGGCCAGGCCCAGGCAGCTCCATCCCCTAAAGCCCCTGGCCTGTCCCCCACAGCGTTGGACCCTGTAGGAGCAGGATGTGTGGCCAGCTTGGCTCTGGCATGTCTGGAAGCGAAGTGGCCACCCCCACACCGAGGAGGGCGCTGGGCTCTGTGTGAGGCCCCCTTCCCCACCCCAGGCACCTCAGGCTGGGCAGGGCCTGGGGATGAGGACAGGACCACATCTCCATCCCTGTCACTGGGAGTCCCCCGCTGCCCAGAAGTGTGCAGAGGTGGCTGGATGCCCACGGTCCCACCGTGCTGTCCCTCAGGCTTTCAGGAGGGTGGGCCTGGCCCAGCCCCGCCCTCCACAGGGCCCCAGCTGCCGCGCCCTGAGCCGCGGCATCAGAACCTGCCAGGCAGGCTGACGTCAGAGTGGTGGGCAGGGTGCAGGCTCCCACACACCTGTACCACACTGCACCACAGGGAGCCCGGGCTGGGGCTCAGGTGCTGGGGTCAGCCTCCCTGGGCGGCCGGGTGAGGGCAAGCTGCCCTGTCAGGTGGGGCCACAGGTGCTGGGCTCTGCACATGGCAGAGGCCCTGGGTTCCAGAGTGTTGGCCTCTCCACCCACCCAGGTAAGGTGCAGTGCCCTTACCTCCCTGGGCAGCAGGACCAGCAAGCCTGTCTGCCAGCCATATGGACCCAGAAGGGCACCCTCCAGGAGGCCTTCCAGACTGCTTGGGCCCATCAGGCATACAGTCAGGCATACAGACAGCCATGTGTTGAGCTCGGAGGAGGGCAGGGAAGGGGGTGCAGGTGACAGCCCCAGGACAGGAACCCAGACTCAGGGCCTCCTGACAGTACACAGGCCCCAGGGCCCTCCCAGCGCCCAAGCCGCTGCCCAGCCACATAATCACCCTGCCGTGCCTGCTGGAGCCCAGCCTGGATAGGGCATCAAGGCCCCAGGTGTCCCCAAGTGAAAGCCAGCACAGCTGGGGCTCTGGAGCAGGCCCCCAGACAGGAGGGTGGGGCGAGCCCCTGCAGTCAGGAAGCAGTGAGGCACAGTAGGTGTGGGGCTGTGGGACACCCCAGGGGGTAAGAGGGCCGAGTCTCCCGGGGCAACTCTGCACCCGGGCAAGGAGAGGCAGGCCAGCCCCCCAGGGAAGCCTCAGCACACGGGCAGCCACACGAAGACGGAGAAGAATGTGTCACAGAGCCACAGTGGTCGCTGAGGAACGCCTGGGCTTGGGACCTCGTGATCGGTAGGACAGTGAGAGGTAGAAGCCCCAGCCCTTTCCCCAGGCCCCGCCCCTGAGCACTCCCACCTCACACCCCGGCCGCTCTCTCAGAGCAGCCCCAGCAGAGCCCTGCCTGGCGCCCCCCCATGCCAGGAGCCCCCATCCTCAGGCCCCACTCGCGGGAGGCTACCTGTGACCTCCGCGCCCGTGGTGGCCAGTGGGGGCAGGTTGGGGGAGCAGAAGGCCCCAAACCTCTGGGTGTCCACCTTGGTTACCCGGTTGCCCCGAAACAGCTGATTCTGGATGAACAGGCAGACCTGCGGGAGGAGGGGGACTTGTGCACACGTCTGCGACACGCATGTAAGCGCACACGACGTGACATCAGGAAGCAACACCACCAGGCTAACGGCAGTGTCTCTGGGCTGCGAGCTGGGCAACCGTCTCGTCTGCTTTATCAAAGTTTTGTTTTTTAGTTACTGGGCATGGAACCCTGGGCCTTCATACTGAGCTGCATCCCTAACCCTTGTATATTTTGGACAGTCTTGCTAAACTGCCCAGGCTGGACTCAAACTTCTGATCCTCCTGCCTCAGCCTCCCTCGGTGCTGGGATTACGGGCCTGCGCCACCACGCCTGGCTCTGAGGTTTTTGCCAGTGACTGTGTATTAGCTGTAAGGCGAGTCACAAACCCGATGGGCCCCTTGTCTGCAGTCCTCTGTGCCACACCCACTCGTCCTCTGGCTCCTGGGGTATACACCCAACTGCAGCACCCCTGTCCTCCCCCCGCTGATGCACCCCACACCCAGGCACCAGGTACCTCAGGGATGATATACTGGCCGGCCATGAGCAGCGCCCCCAGCAGGTTCTCCCGGCTGTCATTCCACAGCGCGTGGATGGGGACCTGGGGAGAAGCTGGGAGGTAGGCTGAGGCAGGGCGGCACAGGCAGGTCGGGCGGGTTCCTCTCCAGTGAACCGCTCGGGTCGGGGGCAGCCCGGGTCTGTGGGGAGGGGGAGCCGCCCCCGTCTAAGGCCACCAACAGCAGTCCCCGCACCCAGCACCTCAACCCAGGCACCTTGCCCATGCAGGCCGAGTGCCCATCCAGCTCCCCGACACCCAGGGGCCACCAGGACTGGCTCCCGCCAAGCCCCATGCAGGCAGAGGGACCCCAACTTGGCCTCTAGCGGGCCCTGGTGGTGGTCTGGACCTCCCACTGTGTCGGGTCAGGGGAGGAGGGCGTCGTGGGCCAGGCTCCCTGGGCTGGCATCGGTGCAAAGCAACCGCGGGAGGAAGAAAGAAGACAGAAGGCGGGGAGCCGGCGTCTCCCCAACACCAGCTGTGGACCCCAGCACGAGGCCGCAAGGAGGAGGAGGAGAGGAGCCTGGTGCCACAGGTGGTGGGCAGCTGGGCACCACAGGGCTGAGATGGCCATGGGGTCACGGGCCTCCGGGGACTGGCAGGGCTGCCCCACGCGGGGCAGAGGGCATCCACCCACCGTGGTGGGCAGCACACAGCAGGAGCCGCCCTGGGGAACTGCTCAGACGCAGCGCAGAGCGGAAGCCCAGGTCGGGCTCAGCCTGAGGGGCCCCTGCCCGCACGGAGCCGCCCCTCAGTTACCTGGGCGCCGGTGAGGATGACAGGCTTGTGCAGGTTTTCCAGCACGAAGGACAGCACAGAGGCTGCGAAGGCCATGGTGTCGGTGCCGTGGATGACCACAAAGCCGTGGTACTGCTCATAGTGCCTCTGCAGGAGGGGTGTGGTCAGGGCAGGCCGGGGACTGGGGAGCTGGTGGGGGCTGGCGGCCACAGAGCCCAGTGCAGACGGAGGGGCTCGGAGGCTCCCCTGCAGGCCCTGCCTGGAGCCCAGGGCCCCAATACTTCTGCAGCCCTACACCCCGGTGGCTGTCTCAGGGCATGAGAATGTGGGTCTTGCGGGCTCCTGACACTCCTTGAGGGCAGAAGCCGCCCCCAGACTGGCAGCCAGGACCTCCTAGGTGGGGCTGGTGAGGAGGGGCACCCAGGGCAGCAGGAGTGGTGGAGGTGGGAGCCTCACCACCCCCTGGGAGGGCAGCGTGGACTCAGGCAACCAGCACGAGGCAGGTGGCCTGGGAGGCTGGTGGAAGTAGGCCTGGGCAGGAACTGCAGCTGCTGACCAGGCCCTGGCCACCACCTTCTAGCAAGCAGCCGACCTGGGCTGTGGCGGCCAGGGACTCAGCTCTGAGAGGACATGGTGCGCCCTCTGGTGGCCACAAGGGCCACAGTGGCAGGCTGAGAGGCCGGGGGAGATGCCCTGGCCCTGCAGCAGGGACACAAGGCACTGCCCAGACCTCAGTAGAGCAGCCTGGCCCCGAGTGAGCCGGTCCTGGACTAGCACAACCCAGGCTAGACAGGTACACTGGCCACCTCATTCCTGAAATGGAGACAGACCCAGGGTCACAGGTTGTCCCTGGTGGGCCACAACTGGGGTTGGAGACCAGGGTAACCAAGGCCGGCCAGGGAAGGAGGAGTCTGAGTGACCCCACTGGCTCTTTTTTTTGCTTCTAGGACTTGAACCCAGGAGCACTGTACCACTGGGCTACATCCAGCCCTCTATGCTTTGAGACAGGGTTGCCCAGGATGATCTTGAACTTGTGATCCTCCTGCCTCAGCCTTTTGAGTAGCTGGGATGACAGGTATGTGCCACTGCACCCACAGAGCAAGGGGCTTCTAAGGGAAGCAGGTGAGAATAGGGCTGGGGGCAGGGCTCCCGTCCAGGGAGCCATGGCCAGGCTTGTGTGGGCACTGGGCCTGGGCGGGCAGAGAGCCGAGGGGTAGCCCAGCCAAGGCACGAGCACTGCACACTGCTAGGCCCTGAGCAACCCCTTGGCCTCAGGCCCACCTAGTCCACGCACCGCTGGGGGCAGCGGGGAGGGCCCAGCGCACGGAGTCGGTCAGTCCCCCTCGGCCTGGGCCACGCCCACAGTATGAACAGACCGAGCCAGCTGCCGGGCTGCTCCTTGGCAGGAATGTGGTGTGGCCTCAGCCCCACCTACACCCGCATGGGGAGAGCACCGGGTGTGGCCCTGCCCGGGGACCACCACACCTCAGCTCCCAGCGACCCCACTGCACACCCCGCTCCACACAAAGGCTCAGCCCCCGCCCATGCCCGCGCCCTACCTCTATGGTCTGGGCTATCTGGACCCACTCAGTGATGGTCATGTCGCTGGAGTCCAAGAGCGGCTGGCGCTGCAACACTGTGTAGATGACCCTGGGGCCAGGGCTGGCAGGACTGCGGGAGGCAAACGCAGGCTCCCGCTCTGGCCCTCCAGAGCCAGAGTTCCCTGGCCACTGTTGGGGGTTCTGCACCCTGAAGGCTCCAGCGCCCTGACTACTGGGCCTCCCTTCCACCTGGAGGCCCCAGGACCAGAGCCCGTGCCCCCAGGAGGGGGTGACGACACGGGCCGGGCCAGGCTGTCCCCAAGCAGTATCCCCTCTGCTCCTGCATGTGGGCATCTGGGACCAGCCCAGGAGGAGGCTCTCTTGCTCAGGGAGGACAACTTGCAGCCCAGCCCCCCACTGTGAAGGCAGTAGGCCGGCCCCGAGTCTCGGGAGCGGCCTGGCCTCAGGGTGTGCTCCCGCCCGGACAGGGGCGTCCTCGCCACACGTGTTGAAGCTGTCACCCTGCCCATGTTCGGGTGGAAGGCAGCCTGAGCTCATGGCCTCAGCCCTGAGAAAGCTGCACCCGCCCCCCACACCCAAGCGCCCCTCAGCACCTGCCCACCCTTCCCCTCAGGACACCACAGCGCCCGAGGAGCCCCACTCACGGCAGCACCAGGGTGTTGTCAGGGAGGCCCTGTGCCCGGGCATGCTCCTCATCGTGGAACATGGGCAGGGTCCGCAGCACAGAAGCCAGGCCTGGGCCGGGGACAAGCACTGTGGGCAGAGAGGGCCACGTGCGGTCAGGACAGGGGCCCCGTCTCCCCACCAGGTGCCGCCAGGCTGGATGACCCTCCAGAGGTCAGCAGTCGTCCCGAGTCCGGAAGCCACAGCTTCCGCCCTTGGAGCCGATGTGGATTCTTCATCTGGAATCCAGACGCCCCTCGAGTGCTGTCTGCCCTCTGGTGGTCCCACTCCACCTGCGCCCCATCTGCAGAGGGTCCACACTCCTGGCCAAGCGAGGCCCCACCAACCTGCCTCACAGAGCAGCCACACGCACCCACCCCGAAGGCGCTGCCCCCAATTCTCACCAGCAGGAGCTTCTAGGCTTCGCTCCAGACACCACCTCCAGGAAGCCCACCCTCTGCCAGGCTGTAGCACCCTTCCCACATACGCTCTCGTGGGCCCTTGGATCCCGGCTGGCAGGGATATGTGTGACTTCTTCAAGTTCTGCCCGCATCCCCACTCCCACCCCTTCCACAGGAGGACAGGCGCAGAGCAAATGCTGCCCCCGCACACACAGGTCCTCCGGCCTGCAGCCAGTGAATCTCAGAAGTGTGCATCTCGGGAGGTGCCAGCCACAGCCCGGCGGGCATCTTGGAAGCCAGTGGCCTCCCAAGAGGAAGCACATCCCACTCTCAGGTGCTGGCCCTGCTGGTCCCCCCAGCCTTGGTTTCCTGGGCCACTATGAGCATCAGACTTTCTCCTGGCTGGGCCGGGCTGTCTTGCCCGCGTGGACTGCTGGCCACACCCTGCACTTCCTGGGGTCAGTAGCCCAGGGTGAAGCCCACCTCTCCCTGTAGCTCCCGCTGCAGGCCCCTCCCCACCACCAGCACCAGCGCCACTGCCGGCAGCCAGTTCCCAGGCCAGGTCACGAATGGGCCACAGACTCCGTGCACTCACGTTGCGCCCCTTTCTCTCTCCCTGATGCAGGGGGTCGGGAGCCTGGCAGGCTTTGGAGCTGGCAGGAGGGCGGTGTTTCTCTCCCACCCTGCCAACCTCCCATCTCCGTCTGCCAAGGCACAGCCCAAGCCCCTCCCCAGCCACCCTGACTGTCCCAGGCCCATCGGATGGTGTTTGTGGCCCTGTTTCCCCGCCAGAGAGAGAACCTGAAGGCCCCTGGCCCCACTCTCCCAGGCTTGTGCCAAGACCCTGCAGCCTCTGCTGGAGGAGTGGATGGCGCAGGTCGGCTGGTGACTGGCTGCTTACAAACTGTCCTGTGGGCGGGGCTCAAGGGACACATGGGGAAACCGGAGCCTGTATGTGTGCGGCAGACCCGCGGGCTCTGCAGATGCCCAAGACATGGCCTGCCTCCGTGCTCAGGAGCCACTGCCCGCCACACTGGGCCAGACGACCCTCCCTGCGCGTGGCAGGCTGAACGTGCGCCCACATCCCGACCCCAGGACCTGTGGATGCTACGTTTTGTGGCAAAGCCGCTGCAGGTGTGCTAAGGGAAAATAGAGAGCCTGTCCTGGACTTCCTGGGTGGGCCCTAAAGCCATCACAGGTGTCCCCATAAGGGGGGTCCAGAGGGAGCCTGGACACACACAGGCAAAGTCCAGACGCCTCAAGAACTTTGCCCACTGAGGCAGGAGACAGCCAGAGAACTTTGACCCCTGATGTTTACTAAGATCTTCCCGCCTAGTGACCCTTGCCTTCCTTTAAGCCCTATAAAAAAGCGGCTTCTCTTTGTTGTCTCCAGATGGGCTTCCGCCCTGTCTCCCGCACCCAGGCACAGCAAATTCCACGCCATGTTGCCTTGCACAAGCTTGGTGGCCTCCGCCTCACAGCGTTCCTTACGTCTGGGGCCGAAACCGGGGAGGGAGACCAGCTCTCTCTGGGGGCTTCCAGCCCTCTGGAATCTCCACCCCAGCTGAGACCAAGCGGTACCATCCTCAGACCTTGGTCCCTGCAGCTCCGGCCGCCTCTGCCGGGCCAGATCTCGCCAGGGTAAGACCCTCACTCTCTCCCCGTTTCTTCCTCCCTCTGCCCCATAAAGTCAGGGAGAGGCTCGTTCTGTGTTCTTGTGCTTTATAAACTCCAGCACTGTCCTGGAAAAGCACCGCTGGGAGGGCTGCTTTTGTTCGGCATCGGGACAACCGCAAAGACCTTTGCCGCGCGCAGTCACTCGCGTCTACGGCTTCGGGTCCGACGGGAGACGTCCACTGAAGAGCCGGCCGCTCTCCCACGCCTGTCTCTGTTCTCCAGTGGGGGGCCCTCCAGCTTCCACCCCCACTCCACCCCCAGCCTGCCTCCTGTACAACCTCAAATCTCTCCGCCTCTCCGGGTCTGAAGCCCAAATGGCTGGTCTTTTTCTGTAACGCGGCACAGCCAAGCCTGCTGTTAGACTGCAGCTCTCAGTGACCAGAACACCATACTTTCAATTTTCCCATTTTACAAAATAACAATTAAGAGGAGATAAGAGTTTGCTTTTATTTCCTGATCGCTGAATTATATCAGGTAACCACAACTGCCATTCTTGCTTCCCAGTGTTTGCGCCTTCTGTAAATCACTTCACGAGGCTTCTTTAACGGGATGTTTTACTCTTGTGGACAAGGTCTTGTACGCCTGTTTTGTGTGTGTTACATTTCGACTCCCTTGAACTTCTGACTTGTGACTGCCATGGGTTTTAATCTTAGCTTGGCACCAAGCAGAGACAATGTTAGAGCGCCACCAAGTGGACCTTGGTAAAATGGGCCTTTTTGTGAAACCTCACCTGTATTCAGCTCAGGCTTTTAGGGGCCCGTTACAGAATGCTAAAAGCAAACAGTGGTTGCCCTGCCAGCTAGTAATCGCCTTTAGGGCAGCTGCCACTCTCAAAGCAGAGCACAGGGTTCTCCAGTGCCCCTGGCGAATCCTCATGGACACCAGTGGCCAGTAGAATGCTGACCAAGCGGGCAGCTGGACTCCTCTCCAGGAGACAGCTCTGACTTCATAGTAGTCAAAGCTGAAAGGACAGCAGAGGGCCATGGCCGGGGCCGCTCTGCAGTGGGTATCCAGAGGTCCCTGGGTGGGATCGAGCCGGCAGCCTGGAAGGGTAGTCAGCAGAGGATCTCCTCTTCTCTGTGGCTCCACCTCACTCTGCAAGGAGGGTGAAAGGCAGCTCTGTGCCCGTCAGGGTCCTCTGTGTCAGATGACGCGAACCGACACTGCCAGAGCTCTTCCTTAGCCTCCGTCGAGGGTCGAGCTACAAGTCTGGACTTTCCTTCCTCTGCTGATACATTAGAAGCCCCGATCTTTCCCCGCCTTTCCCTTGCATTGCACCCCCTGCTCCCTTCCCGTGCTGATTCCTCGCTGACTTCTCCCTCATGCAACTCCCTCCGCCACTGCCGATCGCCTTGAGACAGGAGCCGCAGGCGTCGGCTGCCCTGCGCTGGTCCGGCCAGGGTCGCAGGCTGCAGGACTCCAGTGCCAAACACCTGTGCCCAGCCGGCCCCGCCCGAGCCTGCTCGCCACTCACAGCCCTGGAGACTCCACAGAGCAGGCCCAGGCGCCGCCATAGAGGTCCGCCTGCAGTCCACACTTCTGAGCCCAGCCAGGTAAGAAAATCTCCAGCCTGTGGCAAGCCCCTTGCCCCACCCCGGGCCGCAGGACCCCAGGGCAGCAGGCCGTGCCCCTGGCCACACCTGCACTCACCACCATCCTCTCCCTGTGGCTGCCGGGCTCCACAAGCAAACTGATCACACCCAGCCTGAGCCCACCCCGGGCCACCTTCCAAAGGCTGCCTGCCGTTCCCTAACCTTTGCTCATGTGCTCTCCCAACTCCCACTGGCCACTCTGCGTGTGCCCAGTCCAGACTGCTGCTCCCTTCTCCTCTGTTCCTCCCTCTGCCAGAGCTTCCCAGGTCAGCCAGCTCCTCCTCTTCAGACTCTTATAACCCTAGTTTTCTCTGATTTGCCAAAGTTAACTTTAAACCCCTTGATTAAAAACCCTTTCTGTCGGGCATGGTGACACACGCCTGTGATCCAAGCACTCAGGAGGCTGAGGAGGGAAGATCACAAGTTTGAGGCCAGCCTGGACTACAAAGTAAGCTCAAGGCCAGCCTGAACTGCACAGCAAGACCTTGTCTCGGGCCAGGGATATAGCTCAGCAGCGTGTAAGATCATGAGTTCGATTCCCAGTACCAAAAAAAAAAA